GGTGTCAAAAGGTCTCCCATTAGACATTTGCCTAGACTCAAGTAAAGGGCTAGTAGTTTTCTCACTTTGTAAGGGACAAAAGTGGCCTCTATGTATACACACACTTACATACATACACACACACACACATACACACACACACACACATATGAGGGCAGGGGAGGGAGGAAGGAAGGAAGGAAAAGATAAAAAGTAAAATTTAGGCAACTATGAAGTATAAGTATCCTGTTTTCAAAGGTGGGCCCTGTAGCAGAGCTACTGAACTCTATCTGAATTCTAAACCTGTGACAGAAGCAGAACTAAACAAGTAAAACAAGATGATTTCATATGCTCAGACCTCAGTTTCCTGAACATCTCAACTGTTAATGTCTTTCTTCCAAATGTAGTGCTGAGCCAAGCTTATGTGGCCATGAAGCCAAAGAAAGTTGCAGTACTCCTGTATCAGAGCCTTCAGACTGCAGTTTTCCACTCTACCAAGTCTTTCTCTACAGAATACTCTTTCTGTTCTGTAGGAGAATTGTGGGAGGGGAGGAATGCCAGATGACATTTTAGCAGTGTTTGCCTTCCCCAAACAGCAGCACTTAAAAAAATTTCTCATGCTTCTTCTCATTGTCCCTATATGTAGGGATCTTAAAAGAAAGCATATGAGAGAATTTAACTCGCACTTTAATGCCTGCATCTCCAGGCTTCACACTCAAGGTAGCCCACATGCTACCATTACTATTTCCTTAAACATTCCAGCATGCTGAGCTGTTTTCATGCTAGTAAGCAAATGCTCAAGATTTATCCTCACAGATGCACAGTTTTACTATGAATTCTGTTCTCTAAAATGCTTACAGAATGTCATGAGGCTGTAGGGTTTTGTTTTGTTTTGTTTTGTTTTGTTTTGTTTTTCTTACAAATTAGGAGCATGCCTTTCTAGCCATCTTGATCTCTTCGCACAGTCTTCTAATTTTAACATTCATTTTCTACAGGTAAACTATAAGAGTTTTAAATCACTTTTAATACTTTTTATGCTAAAGTACATATGAGAAACATTGAAGATGTCCCTTATATGTTTCTGCTCATTTATGTGCTGTTTGGTTATTTCTGTCTTCTGATACTACTTCCTAATGTTGCTACTTGTATGCTATCCCCCATTCCACACGTAATCATTTAATGAAAAAAGTATCATCATTCAGGAAGCATACAGCTTTTTAATTCATGGTAGTAATGAAATCTTCTATTTAATTTCATACGAAATTGGGTTTCTAGGGAAGGTTTCAATACAAGCTAGCCAGAGGCAGGGACTTTTAAAAGTATGGGAAGAATAGTTGGGCAATGCAGAAATTGTTCCATGAAATTTGCACATGGTAAATATTTCTGCAGTATTTTCCCTAACATATAGGAAGAAACATTTAAGCCAATATAACCTTCTATGTATGAAACAGTAAAGTTTCTATAGAAATTCAAAGAATGTGTGTTATTGTAATAGTGTTCTACCACGTTAAAAAACCTAGATTTTTAATTTTGTTAGGCATCATCATATTATTTGATAGTTCATAAACTTAATATAGTTGAAGACAGAGTCAAAACTATTCAAGACTGGAGTCTTGGAGATGTAAAATTTTGGCTTATAGCTAAAATTTTATAGCTACCTAAAGGACCAAACAGTGGCCCTTCAAGGGACATGTAGAGCAAACTATGGTACTTTGTGAAGTAATGTAAACTAAGAAACCATAGTGAGGGTAAACTAAAGTAAAAATGTTTTTATCTAGGTATAGGATTTATTATAAATCAGGCATGCTGGATCTTCTAAACTAAACTGATTTGACAAAAAGAAAACAGGCTTGAGTGTTACAATTTTCTTGACTTTATACTGACACAGATGAACATGTTGTAAATTTTCTGATTGTATTGTATTGTCTAGGACAAGAGGGCAAAACTAATCACTGCTGTCTTGTTAACCTGGCAAAGTGTTGTTAGATTCCAGGAAATTGTTTCATTTAGTCATATCCCGTTCCTGATAAACTGTTCATTTGATACATTGTCAATCAGAATTTTAAAACTTAGAAAAGAGTTTTAGCTCTTTTTTAATAATCTGTGGTTACTTTGAATTTTGTTATCATGTATTTTAGTCATTGCTCTGTCCCTGTATGTACCCTAGTGTCTGAGATAATCAGCTTAAAACAGAAAAGATATATTTGGACTCATTCTTAGAGATTGTAGCCAACTGTTGGTCTAATGGATTATTTGTAATCTGGGCATGCCAGATGGCAGTGCTCTCTTAATGGCTAGGAAGCAAAAACATGCAAAGGAAGGGACCAAAGTCTACCATTCACACTAAGGAAATATCACCAATGACCTAAGGACCCCCCACACTCCACCCCCGCCAGGACTTCCTTTCCATAGATTCTGCTTTCCAGGAATGCCACCAAGAATCCAAACCTTTAACACATGAGCTTTCAGCTGTCACAATACAAATTATAAAATGCCATAGGGATCAGTATTACATATCCTTCTCCTGTATTTGGTTAATAGACATTTATTTAAAATTTAAAATCTAACTTGTTAATTAAAGTTTCAAACAACAAAAATAAGAACCTATCTAAGTAAGTTCATCAGTGTGGAATTTAAATTAGGAAGGATGAACTCTGAGAATATCTTCTATAGAAGACAAGATAGCATTTGCTTATTTCTTTTCACTTTTGATGCACTAACATTCTTGTTTCTTCTGGCTTACATCATGTCATTTAAACCTAAAGCCATAGAATCAGTTTTATTTTATCTTTTCATCTTCTAATTACTTACCAGGTACAATAATGCTTTCTTTGAGATGTCTCATATGTACATCTTTTTAAATTTTTTGGTTTTTTGTTTTTATTTTTCTGTCCTTTTGCTTACCTCATATTACTTACATGCCTGGTCTTCTTGGTTTTGTTTATTGAAATTTTGTCATCCTTGTGCTTCACAAACTCTAATTTTCAGAGTCTCTCTTAGACATTTCATTGGTTCCTCATATTGTACAACTACTGACATGCATTTGCAGAAAACATTTTATTAGCTGCTGTTCAGATATTCTTTCCTGATTATCTCTTATACTTCATTAGTGTTGCCCTGTTTGTTGTTTCACATTGGGAGCAAGGAACACAATGCCAGGAGTTAGCAGTATAAGAACTACTTAGCTACCTAGAAAATTTCCGAGAAACATTAAGATAATATTTAAGTCTTCTTATTGCAGTTTTAATCAATTTCATACGATCATAGCCAGCTTGGTATAGTAAGCTAATACTCATATAATTGTCAGGTGAGTTAAACTTGCTTTAATTGAAAAAGAATGTAGGCTAGTATCTTTATTAAGAATAGCTACAATTTACTCAACTGTTTTCTATAATTTACCACTTAACTGTATAAGAGTTCAAATTTCATATTCACTACCAATTGGCCTAAAACACATATATAATAAAAAGGATTAGGGAGAGAAAAGTTTGCACTTTTATTTAATAGAAGGTTTATGTAATATATGACTTCAGAAGTAATGGCTTAAACAACAACAGTGTATATTTTTATGCTCAGGTTTGAGTAGATGGATAGTCTTGAAGAATAGTTTAAGGACAAAGAGACATTGTGTGGTAGCAAGACTTACTTGCTCAGCTTTTCCTCTCTAGCCCTCTGTATATAGAGTGGTTACCTCTGAACAATGGGTCTTCTGAATTCCTTCTGAAAGAGCAGAAAGTTCTTTTATGATCTGCTTTAGGGGAAAGGGGCAGGGGCTTGCTTATCAGAGACACAATCCTGCTTTTTTTATTACCTCGAATGCCAAGGCATCTGTTAACATTTGGTGTAGTGTCTTGAACCTCATCAGTGTGCTGTTCCCTCTGTGAGGCCTCATAATAAAGAGTATCAGGACTTGAGAACATTTTATGGTTGAAACTGATGAATCTGAAAGAAGTAAGTTCTGTGGAGAAACAGTGTACAGACCCATATCTCATGTCTTAAAATTATTGTTAGTTTTGGTTAGTTGGTTGCAGGTTTGCGTATATGAGAGATAAGAGATAGAGATTTTTTTTCTTCCATTGTGTTGTAGAGTATCTCTACAACTACTACATAAAACTTAAGAGTTTTATGCTAGCTTTACCAGGATGCTTAGGAAGAAATTTCTAAATAGTAATTTTACATGTGCATGTTTCTGGGACTGGAGAGGTGGCTCAGCAGTTAAAAGTATTTACTCTTCTTGCAGAGGACCAGATTACAACTGCCCGTAAGTCCTATTCCAGGGGAACCAACATGTCCTTCTGGTCTATGCAGGTACACCATGCATATAAACTCATGCAGGCAAAACATACATATATTCATGCATACATACATTCATGCATACATACATACATACCATTTGAGAGGAGAAAAAAATGGAGTTCTTATCTCAAAAGATTTTTTTTAACTTTTTTTATTTTTTATTAATTACACTTTATTCATTTTGTATCCCCCCATAAGCCCCTCCCTCCTCCCCTCCCGTTTCTGCATGCATGCCTCTATCTCAGAAGATTTTAATGTTCATCAGTAGTACAGAATCATTTTTCCTTATCATAAATGTTATTGTGAGTACAGCGTTGTGAAGCTTACTCAAGATACTAATCAAAATTTTTGGCATGTGATACAAAATGAAGGTGTCTGTAGATTTCTTGAGTAGCAGATATAGTTAAGTGATGCGAGCTCCTTGATGAGAGACGAGTGACCGAGGTGTGGTGAGTATGTCTGCGGATCTCAATCAAGCCTTCATGTATACACTCTTAGAGTTCTCCCTGACTAGAAATCACTTTGCCTTTGGTTCTGAAATACACCTTTTAAAGTCCTTTTCTGTTAGCTGGATCCTGATTTTCACCTTATTTTGATGTTTTAAGGTATATCTAAATGAGAATTCTAAGCAGTTGTAAGTTGGAGTGATCTAATAGTACATAAAGAAAATTGGAATATGAAAAGACTGTATAACAAATGTTATATTAATAATGAAATGCACTAAAAATGGAAGCTGCGGAGTCAACCATGTAGACAAATGAGAAACTTTCTTTTGTCTGCAGAAGGCAGCAATCCTACATAAAATGGAGGTCTCTGTCTGACTTAGGCTAGCTGGCTAAGTCTGATCGTTCCCCTCCATACAACTTTTTGAACTTCCACTCTAAATGTTGTTTTTCTTATTTTGTTCAAAATCTTTGCTGATTCAGTATATTAGGTTATGGAAGCAAACAAAGAAAACCAAGAAAGCTAGTTCTTCAACCATTTTAAATTATTTTGTGGATTTGGTTTGTCTGTGCTTCTCACCCCCAGCTCTTTTTTTAATTCTTTGAAATAAGGTCTCATGTCACCTACACTAGCCTTGAACTCCTGCCTATACTATTCAAGTACGGGGATTAGAAGCTGGTTGGTAGTTTTTGAAAGTAGGTATTACTATTGGCTTATTTGTTCGAAAAACTTATAAATACGTTTATAAGTTTTATTCTAATAACTAGCTTATATTAAATTTTAATGAGATATGTTAATCAGCAATTTTTATGAGGATGGTCATAAGGTCCATGGTTTTATTTGTCCTCTTAAACTCAGTGCATGTATTTTTTTTTTCTATTAGTTGTTTGAAAATTGTATACAGTGTGTTTTGATGATACTCACCTCTCTTTAAACTCCTCCCAATTCCACTCACCACCACCACCACCCCAAAATCTCTATCCATCCAACTTTGGTGCCCTCTTTTTAAATTTTTTTTTTTTAACCCATCAAGTCCAGTTTGCACTTCCTATATATTCCTGGGTGTATGTTCTTCCTCTGGAGTGTAGTCTGCTTCCCAGGACTATGCTTTAAACTATTAGCACTTTAAGGTAGTTATTCTTTGCATTCTAAGAATATTTTTCAACTCAAACATTGTATTCTATGGGACATTCTTTATCTTAGAATTTTTGGTTTTTTACACTTACGTGTTTGATCTATTTAAAATTATTTTTAAGATGATAAAATGTAAAGTTGAGTTTTCTTTTCATACGTATTTCAGCAGGCATACAATTGCTGTTCATAAATATGGCTTGTTGGAACACAGTACAAGAATGGAGTTGTGTGAGGCGAATTTTGAGTGCTTGTGAAAAAATTCCAAGAAAACAAGTCTATGACCTGAGTTTCTTCAAAAACAAGGAATTATTCTTGCAATATGCTTTTGTACGCATCCCAGGTGTAGCAAATAGGAGTGAGTTTACATTGCCATTACAGCTAGCTATTGTTATTTGTTTATATGCCTCTGTGCCCTCTTGTGGGACTTATCCTTGTATTTGGATAATTTACTCATATGACTCTTAACTATCAGAGTGTAAATTGTCTGACGCTGAATGAAAGAAACTCTAGTCTGCCTCGTTTTTAGGCTTCACTCTCTTCTTCACACTGCCAACTACAGCAGTAAACAATGGTTGCTTCAGTACTCCTTGTAATACTAACTATTCTTGCCAAGTTTTTTTGAAAATTCATACCATGTAGTGATCTACTTCTGAGCTTTCCATTTTCTTATCTGTTACAGTTCCTTTGCTTTTTGTTGACATCCTGGGTTCAACTTTTAAACTTCTACTTAAGAGTTTGTAGAATTTAAATTGTGATTGCAGAAATAATTAATATTTTAAGTACTATTTGACGTGTACATAAATATGTTGGTTTATTTTTAAGAAACTCACAGAATTGTTTTTTAAGTTTAATGTTAGGTCTTTATCTATAGGTGGATAATTGAATACTCATTTATTTCTACATAAATAGTCACGTGATTTTCATTTTTCCTTCTGATCTCTATGTTGTATTTGGTATGGAGTGTGGGGCTTTCATAATTTATTTACACATTTATATGTAGATAATTTATCACCTTGAATAAAAAATTTTGTTTTAAGTTAGTGATAAATTCAATTGAATTTTGTATTAATGTGATTTTTTTTCTTTCTTCTCAACATAATGAATTGTATTCTTTGATATGTTCATGTCTTTGGTGCTAGGGATTGAGGGAGCCCAGGGCCTTGTATAAACGCTAAGCTTTCCTGTACCAGAGAGCTATTACCCTGACACTTTCGATGATTTGTTAATATTAGAAACCAAGTTAATATCTGGATAAATTCTACCCATATATAATGTGTTCTATACATTTTTATTACATTTTAAATCTTATTGTATGTGGTTGTTTATGTACTGCAGTTTGCATGTGAAATCAGAGAACAACTTGTGGGAGCTGGTTCTTAGTTTCTACCCTATGGGCCCAAGGATCAGCACTCAGGTCCTGTGGTATGAAGCCAAGTGCCATCACCTCATCATGCCCTAATGTGTCCTTTTATACGTAGATCAATTTATGCATCTTTCCTCGTTCCTAACATTAACTTACATCTTATCTTTGTTTTCAGATAATGCAAATTTCTTGTCACATCTTCATATCCTCCCCCTTCTGTACATGGTATTCTAATTACACATTACACAAAGCCACCTGTTGATCACTGAAGTGCTGCTCTCTTGGTTCTCACCAGCTTTCCCCTTGACGTGGTTGTATTTGTTTCTGTCTGGCCATATTTTGTGCTTATTATCCTTTGCCTTACCTTATCTTCACTGCTGTGTTCCTCCAGTAGACTTCCCATTTCCAGTACAGTATGTTGTTGTTTGGTACTCAAGCTTATGTCTTCCGGTGTTTCCCTTTAACTACTTGACTGTAGTTATAATACCCTAACTTTTAATGTTCTCATTTGATATTTTCCTTGTTCTAGTCATTGCTGGGTATGTTGGTTTTTACTGCTTTTCTCTTGTTGTATATAATGGATGTTTTGTTAAATTATTTCAAGTGTTGAAATTTGTTCTGTTAGAAAGTTAATTTTTTTTCAGGTAACCTTGTTTCTGTTGACCTCTTTTTTTTTTTTTTTTTTTTTTTTTTTTTTTTTCCTTTAAGCTTATTAGAGTCAATCTAAAGTGGTAGTTATGAAACCTGCTATAAAGGACCAGAGAGCTGGTCCTTTTAGGCTTTGTCAGCCAAGATTCTGCCGCTACAGTTCAAGGGAAGCCAGAGACAATATATAAACAAATAAGCTTAGCTGTACCCTGTACCTATGAAATTTAAATACAGAAAAGTAGGACTGTTCAGTGAGCTGTCTTTATTCTGCATGCTTTGTACTTTGTGAACTCTGGGATTTCATAATGTGGGTTGGCAGTATTATTGCTTTCTTTTAATTATTGTTATTTTCCTGGCACTGTGTAATTTTACCCTATAGAAGTAAAGTTTATTCATTATTCATTCCTAAAATAATGGGAACCAGACCCCTAGGCAAGTTGCTGAAGCACTGTTTCCTTATAGTTTCCTCCTTTGTGATATTTTACAAATACAAATTCTAGTCCATCAGTGGGTCATCCCTTCAAGTACTCTGAACATCATTCTTTTTCTTCTCAATTCAGTGCTCCCTTTATCTTCTTAGATTCTCTATGCTATATTTGGATTTCTCTTCCCTGCTGTAGGGTCTAGAAATTGCCTCCAAGCAGAAAGCCAGGGTGTTTAGGAGACTCACACCTTTAGTTTTCTTTCTCAGGGATGAGAGTCCTATACTGTAGATAGATAGATAGATAGATAGATAGATAGATAGATAGATAGATAGATAGATAGATAGATAGATAGATAGATATTCACTTTTTTAGTTCCTAGTAGGAGAACAAACCTTACTTATTTACTGAGTCCTGGCCAAAAATAATAAATGTATTTATTTATGTATATTTTATTTGTGTGTGTGTGTGTTAGCATGTGTGCCTATTACATAAAATATGTTCACATTTCAAATACTTATGTCTTTCTAGGAAGAAATTCTCAAACTTAAGCTAAGCAAATACTTACTTTTTGTCAGGTTCCTCAGGATTTTAACATAGTGGTTTTATTAAACATTGTTTTAGAGAAAGTACTTCATTTGTCATTATGATGAATTTGTATGTGATTTCTATTTTTATAAAAATTGCTGCAAAGTTTCTCATTATCTCTCTTAATTTTCAGGTACAGAAAAAAGTAGACATTATGTATTAGCTACCTTTGAGGAGAGTTTTGCAGTTGGCTACTCATTTAAAAAAAACAAAAGAGGAGAACATACTGAGAACTGCTGTGGGTTTTATTTAACAAGTAAAAGGTTCTGTGTAGCAAGACAGTTAGTTTCATCTAGCAAACACCAGCCATCCAGAAATGCAAAGCTTTGGCTCATTCAAAGCCTTTAAGTAACACCCTCTAATAATAGAAGTAACATTTCTGGTTTTATATTTCTGTTTGATTGAAAATCTAGTTCTAAATCACTCCTTTTTATGTTCATTAGAGGAGGGTTGTACTTGTGATGACATTGCTTTTTGTTTGTTTGTTTGTTTGCTACCTTGAATAGTTTTGCTACCTTGAATAGTTTTGAGTGTGTGTAAGAATTCTTAGGACACTATTTTGTGTATGTTAATTCTGAAAAATCATTTGAGCTACTCAGTGTATACATTGACTTTTTAAATAAGCTGTGCATTGATCTGTCTTCTCAGACAGAGGTGTTAGGAGTTACCTCTGGTCACAACAATTACATCATCTATAAATACCAGTACTGAGGTTGGAGAGGAAAGAAAGAAAGAAAAGAAAGAAAGAAAGAAAGAAAGAAAGAAAGAAAGAAAGAAAGAAAGAAAGAAAGAAAGAAAGAAAGAAAGAAAGAAAGAAAGAAAGAAAGAAGAAAGAAAGAAAGAAAGGAGGGAGAGAAAGAAAGAAAGAAAGAAAGAAAGAAAGAAAGAAAGAAAGAAAGAAAGAAAGAAAAAAAAGAGTGCTTGTACATAGCAGGTCGTTATCAGATGTGTTCTTCCTTGATCTAGGACACTGCAGACTTCAAACAACTCTTAAGTGGTCATCTAGATATTTCCCTATTTATATCTTGACTCTTAAACTTCTATATTGTAAGGTAATCTACATTAGAGTTCTAATCTGAACCCGGAAACTTTTGAACACCAACATGGTACCTACCACAAGTGGAAATTTTAATATCTGAACTTATGTAACAGATTGTAGTATAAATGCAGGCACACTAAAAGGCTGTGTGTATAAAGTGTACAAAAATATAAATGAATTTTTTTATATATATCTTTGAAGTCCCATTCCAGACAAGAATACTCAATCTGTATATGTCATGCTTGCCCATGCTTCCTTCCACCAGGCATCAGATGACTGAGTTTCATGATTCATAGTCTCAGTGCATGGCAGAAAAAAATTCCCTGCTACTCACAAGTTAGTTCTCATCTTCACCAGGTTTTCTGCCTTCCCCCTTTACATGAAAAGATAACTAAACAGGGGTCTTCCCAGAGAAGAGGGACTGCCTTTGACATAATCTGGTTGGCCTGCTCTTTGATCACCTTTCCCTGAGGGGGAAGCAGCCTTACCAGGCCACAGAAGATGACAGTGCAGCCACTCCTGATGTGATCTGATAGACTAAGATCAGAAGGAAGGAGAGGAGGACCTCCCTTATCAGTGGACTTGGGGAGGGGCATGCACGAAGAAGGGGGAGGGGAGGGTGGGACCGAGAAGGGAGGAGGGAGGGGCTTATGGGGGGATACAAAGTGAATAAAATGTAAAAAAAAAAACAGATAACTAGAACCAGAATGAAAGAAAAAACTGATGCTAAGGCTAAAAGCTTTTCATTGTCCTCACATCATATGTTTCCACAGTAGTGACTGCTTTTTAAGGGCTCCAGCACCTGTGGTACTGTTTCCTAGCTGTAGCCTTCTTGTAAACTGTGGTGTCCTAACCCTTTTTAAGCATCATCCAATTGACTGGAAATACCTTTTTGCTTTGTTCCTTGTACTTTTTATAAGGTAATCTTTTCTGGGTAATCTACAGGTGGTTTTGGTGTCACACGGCTTTGTTTCAGTGTTTAACTGTCTTCTGAGACATGTATAGAAATTGTACCTACTCTGACCACTTTCAAAATTCAGATCAATGAAGTAGATAAATCCCAAATTTGCTTTCTGATCCATTCACTTCAAATACCCTCTTAATGTGAAAGCATTGATACTGTGTGTTATAGTCCTACTATGTATATAATCACCGAGAGAAAATGTCTCATTGAATTCTGCATTCTCCATCTTACCATTACAAGAAAAAGTCCTAGCTAACAAAAGATTAACAGGGCCCATGCTCAAGTCTCTTTCCTTTTGACTCAAGTTTGACCTTGGATGCTATCTCCACTGACTACAATTGAATGGTATTCTAATCCCTGTGAAAATTCTGTGATAGTAGAACAAATTATTTATTTATTGGCTCATATACCAGTAGAAACAAAATGAGTAGTTTTTAGAAGTAGCTTTACTTAAAAATCAGAGGAAAATTATAAAAAAGAAATACATATTTGTAAAAAACAAATTCCTTATGTCATTTCATGGAAACTAAAGTTTGTAACTCACCCTGACTGATGTGACATTCCCATCATACATATTAAAAGTTTTTTCTTTTTTTCCTACTTAGTACTTTGTTCATGAAGGCTTAAGAAAAGGATATTCAGGCAGATCCCAGTCTTCATTAAAGGATGGCCATTTTATCTTTTTCTCATAGCTGTCATTTAGATTTTATCTTTTTGTTAGCCAGAGTTTGTATAGCAGTCTTAAGTCTGTCTAACACTTAGCTGTCTGTCCTTGTGAACAAGACTTCAGTGCATCTCCAAGTTCCTGAGCTCCATTAGCTCTCTGGAGACATGCCTCACACCTGCGATTATGTCTGATGAACCTACTCTTCCATTGCCTTCTACTATTTCCCACTTTAAAAAGGGGGGTGTGTGTTTCCCCCTTAAGGCTTAAAACACTAAAAGTACTTTGTGACATAAATTCTCATTGAAGTTATTACAAGGCTGTTACTAGCACACATGTTGAATAATGGAATAGCATAGTGAAAAAAAAATGAAGCCAGCTTTTCTTCTGTGAGATGAATATTCTTGTGTCATTGTTTTCCTGTTGTAGATATCTGTCTATGGGTATCTGTACTGAAGATACTGACCACGTGTCAGTTCTTTGTATTTTATGGTAAAAACTCAGTGATAGAGAATGTTTTGGAGAAGTAGGTGCTTTCTTTTTCTTGTTACTGTTACATATGCTAAAGTTGGCCTTCCATTTTAAATTCCCTTGATGTCTTAGGGTAAAGTAAAGGAAGGATAAAGAAAAATTGTTCTCTTCAACTACCCTCCAGGAAATGCTTCTCTGTTCCTAAAGTTCCTGTTCTTTTCTAGGAGTCTAATGTACTGATTGCTGCTAACAGCCAGGGTACAATTAAGGTAAGCCATTTTAAACAGCTTCCATTTTAAACTCAGACCTATTTTTATACTGTAACAGGCTCTTGGAAATATACAGTTGTACTGAGCCTTCACAACCATTTCAAGTTATTGGTTTCTGTCTTCAGAAATAACTTAATTGAAGTTGAAAGAATTTGTAGCTCACAGTTATGGAGATGACCATGCTTTTTGGAGTTGTAGGATGAATGGGTTGTTAGATGATCAGACAGAAACAGAAGGCTATTGAGCACTTACAATACAGTACATCTGGACCAGTACAGCCACAACACAGGGTACACAGTGGGCAGTCAGTCTGTGCCAGGGCATGATGCTCCTGTATTTGCTACCTTCATTTGTATTTTGTGTTTCTCTTTTACATAATAAAGGAGGTTCCTGCTAAGGGGGGAGTCAGGAAAGAGAGGAAATGTTAGTGTTCTGAAAATCCATATACTCCTAGAACATAGTCTGAGTCACAGACTCATAGTTTCCCTCATGCTTTCTTTTTGGTAAATATTTCAAGGAAATAAACATTTACTTGATTATACCATTTAGTATTTAGACCTTGGGCATAATGGATTATTTATATAAATAAATCCTGAGCTAAGCAGTGAAATTTTTCTAAACAAAACCCTGTTTGAATGGAGATTTTTAAGTATACATAAGTTTGGCTAACACATACGCTGAAAGAGAGAATATGATCCTTCGGAAAGTTCGGGAAGCATTTTTTTTTTTTTCATGATTTGTCTCTCACGTGCCAATAGACATTAATTTTGCAACAACTTTCTTTAATTTGTAAGTGCACAGTTGCTTGGAGCACCGAACTATGCACAACCTGTGGAAAGCAAACAAAGCAAAACTGCATCGTTAGCTAGTCAAACTAACTCATTACATCACCTTTTCCAGGCAGATGGTATGTTTAGAAAATATCTTTTCTGGGGCTGGAGAGATGGCTCCTTTATCAGAGGTACTGAGTTCAATTCCCAGCAACCACATGGTGACTCATAACCATCTGTAACATGATCTGAAGCCCTCTTCTGGCATCCAAGCATATATATACAGATAGAGTACCCATAAATGTCAAATAAATAAATAAAACTTAAAAAAAATCTTTTCTAAAGAGGAGCCACAACTTACATAAACTAGGCCTTTTTGTGGATCAACATTAGTTTGTTTTTGTTTTCTGGAGGCCTCAAGTAAGATGTTAGGTCTTGAAATTTGAGTGAAGTAGCTAAATTCTCTGCAATTTCACATTCTTTTAGCAAGGCATAGATTGAAAATGGAACACATAAATCAATAGCTTAGATATGAAGCAACTGGAATTGTTAACTGTAGTTAACTCCAAGGCTATGGTAGAATTCCATAGACTCTCACACCTAAACCTGAGAGTTTTCAGCATTGGCCTGTCATGTCGAGAGCACCCTTATCTAATGTTTATACAAAAAGCTTTGTGAAGCGCAGGCAGGAGGTGAAGGGTTGCACCCTTCAAATCTTTCTGACCTAAAATTAGCGTCTGTGAAACAGTCACAGTCTAATAATCACCGTCATGTTCTCTGACCTTCCTTAGCCAATTCCATTCTTGTTTTCTCACCTAATTTTAACACCATTACAGCTTGTTTTTATGGCATAATGACTTAACACTAAGAATCTAACCAAGTATTTTGACACCAGATGGTTAGCATTAAAGTTGATGGAAACATTTATTGATTACCAGTTGTGACTTAATGTTAATTGACCTAGTGTTTATTAAGAGAGAAAAGAAACATTAAAATCCTTAACTACTTTTTCTTAAGAATGAATCAAGATCCTAACAGATACCCCAGAGATATTGTGTGCATGCTTCACAACTCAGCTTATTTGTATCCATCGGTTTCTCGTAGTTTACCTGAAAGGGTCCCTAATTGATGCAATAACTAATTTGAAATTTTTCATACAGTGCTTGAATTGAAAGAGCATCTGGTTCCTCCAGTTCTTTGGCCTTATACCAGTTAGGAGGTATTTTTATTTGGTTTTTCAGTAGTACATACTGTAAAGCGCCATTAAACTCTCTGTTTTAAAACTACTTTGTAAAATTCTTCCTTTTTGTTTCCCCATTAGGTGCTAGAATTGGTATAATGAGTTTCCTGAAGTCAAATTGTATTTGATTCTCCTGAAAGCCATCTGCAGCTGATGATGAGAAAAGAAAGAAATGGCATGTGATGTCTCTCCCAAAGTCATCCTGGGTTTTGGATTTGTTCTGAGTACCTTTTTCCTTTCTTTTTTTTTTTTTTTTTTTTTTTAATGCCTTTTGGACATTGGGGATACCCAGAGAATTCTCCGCCATCAGTGTAACTATGAACTTTGCTGTTGGCAGTGTGGCTATCTTAATTTTTGTGATAGGGAAACACATTCTTTTAAATAAAAATAAATAACAAAAAATAATAAAAGTTTATTGAGCCACAGCTGAGCTGGGAATGTCTCTTGTCAGGTGTGGAGTACTTCTTTTGAAGAAGTATCATGTGTGGAGTGTTCAGAACATAGTGGCTGAGGTTGGAGAGAGGCTCAATGAATAAGAGCATTGGCTGCTCCTACAGCGGATCAGGTTCAGCTCCCAGCACCTGTGTAGCGGCTCACTGCCACCAACAACTGCAGTAGGAGATCTCTTCTGGCCTCCTTGAGCACCGGGCCTGCATGTGGTGCACAAACAAACATCCAGACAAAACGCCCACACATAAGAGTGAAAATAAATCTTAATTTTAAAAGAAAGAAAAATGTACTGGTGAGTATTTATAAAGTTGTATTTCCCAACCCCTTTGAAAATACATGTATCAACATGATAAAAGATAAAATGTGTGGATTTCCTCCGGTGAACTTAGGTTTACAATAGAAAAAGATTAAGAATTCCTTTTTATGCCCTTTGGTGAGATTGTTGGGGTCCCTCCAAATTTGGATCTAAGAGTTTGACCTAATGTGATCAAGTAAAAAGGGAAAGGTGGTCCGTATAACTGCTAATTCTTTCTTGCACCACTAAGTCCTAAACTAAGCCATGTCAGCTTTTTAACCAGAACTATGCTAGCCAAAATTGATCCCTGACTTGGAGCAAGATCAGCTGACCTTTTTCTTAAAGGAACAGATAGGAAATATTTCAGGGTTTGCTGGCCATATAGTCTCTGTTATAACTGCTTAGCTCTGCCAGTACATTAGGGAAGTAGCTACAGATAGCTTGTGGACAAATGGGCAAGGCTAGAAAATAGGTGGAATTTCAAACTCTGCCTGCAGCTCATTATATTCAAGCACCTGACTCAGAATTAAACTTTGTATGCTCTGGTACACCCAGTTTCCAAGCCATGTGACCTCCTGGTTAGTTTGTAAATCATTTTCACATCACAGAGCTCTGGGTCAAGCAGAAGTAACATGAAGAACTACTTAAAACCTGCATACTTTTCAGCAAATGGTTCAAGCAAAATTCTCCACACATTCCATAAAACACTTGCAGAAAGGTTTGTTGGATACAGATATGCATGATCCACTATCTCAGTGGATCCCTTTGCTAAAGGTTACTGAAACTTTAAACTTAGACTTTTGGTCTTTTATTGAAGCCAAGTGTCTCTTGGAATTTAGAATCTTTAGAATATCAGAACACATCCAACTCTATTAAATAGCAATCCCCAACAGAAAGCAATATTACATGTCCAACACACAGGTCTACAGCAAAGCATGCATGGTCCTATTACAGGAGATTGGTTAGGAAACAGGAAAAATAATCTTATAGTAGTTTGGGTAAAGTTTTACCATCAAATGAGTTTTTCCTCACGCTTGAGTGAAATTTATGTTTTTTAAAGCTTCAGAAGAATTGTGTCTTACATAATTTCTAAAATTTAAAACCTGCTAAACTTAGAGCCTCAGATCTGAGAAAAAGGACTAGGTAGATGGCTCATCAGTGAATAGTAGTGTTGCTCTTGTAGAGGACCAGAATTTGATTCTCAGAACCCACATGCCAGTTCACAACAATTCCAGGGAATCTGACAACTTCTGACATCCATGGGCACAGAGCTTGGGTGTGGTTACACAGACATACATACAGGAGAAATACCCATACACATAAATTCTTAAAATTTCAAGTTTCTATCTTTCACAAATGGATGTTAAGATTAGTAAATTACTATTTGTGAAAATGTAGGATGTATATTCTAACAGAGATCCTGCTATTAGTGATAAATGTCCTGAAAATCTTCAAAATAGGAAGCAGTTAATGCCACCTTGAATCCCTTTAAATGGAAGTGATGTTTTTGTTGTTTATTTCTATTGTTTTGACATGCCAACACGATTAATAGTTAATCTCAAGCTCTATATAAAAGTTGGTCATGTTATTTCCATGTTTAGACTGTATAGTATAGAACTTGATTTTTTTAAATTATTTTAAGGTAGTGCTTTCCTTCCTTCCTTCCTTCCTTCCTTCCTTCCTTCCTTCCTTCCTTCCTTCCTTCCTTCCTTCCTTCCCCCCCTCTTTTTTCTTTTTTTATTTATTTTTTATTATTTATTATTTATTCACTTTGTATCCCCCCATAAGCCCCTCCCTCCTCCCCTCCCGATCCCACCCTTCCTCCCCCTTCTTCACACATGCCCTTCCCCAAGTCTCCTGATAGGGGAGGTCCTCCTCTCCTTCCCTCTGATCTTAGTCTATCAGAGTTCATTAGGAGTGGCTGCATTGTCATCTTCTGTGGCCTGGTAAGGCTGCTCCCCCCCTCAGGGAGAGGTGATCAAAGAGCAGGCCAATCAGATTATGTCAGAGGCAGTTCCTCTTCCCATTACTATGTAACCCACTTGACACTGAACTGCCATGGGCTACATCTGTGCAGGGCTTCTAGGTTATCTCCATGCATGGTAGTTGGTTGGAGTACAAGTCTCTGGGAAGACCCCTGTGTTCAAATTTTCTGGTTCTGTTGCTCTCCTTATGGAGTTCCTATCCTCTCCAGATCTTAACTGAAAAGCTTCTGTAAAGCAAAGGACATAGTCATCAAAACAAAACAACTGCCTACAGATTGGGAAAGAATCTTCACCAACCCTTTATCTGACAGAGGGCTAATATCCAGTATAGATAAAGAACTAAAGAAGCTGAAAAGCAGCAAACCAAGTAATCCAGTTAAAAAATGGGGAACAGAGCTAAACAGAATTATCTGTAGAGGAATATCGAATGGCAGAGAAACACTTAAAGAAATGCTCGGCGTCATTAGCCATTAAGGAAATGCAAATCAAAACGACCCTGAGATTTCTTTTACCTTACACCCATCAGAATGGCCAAGATCAAAAACTCAAGTGACAACACATGCTGGAGAGGCTGTGGAGTAAGGGGAATCCTCCTCCACTGTTGGTGGGAATGTAAACTTGTACAACCACTCTGGAAATCAATCTGGCGCTTTCTCAGACAACTAGGAATAGCGCTTCCTCAAGATCCAGCTATACCACTTCTAGACATATATCCAAAAGAGGCTCAAGTACACAATAAGGACATTTGCTCAACCATGTTTGTAGCAGCTTTATTTGTAATAGCCAGAAGCTGGAAACAGCCCAGATGCCCCTCAACTGAAGCATGGATGCAAAAATTGTGGTACATCTACACAATGGAATATTACTCTTTTTTTTTTTTTTTTAAGACAGGTTACCTTGTAGCATGAACTAAACTCAGTTTCACTTTGTAGTCACAAGTAGCATTGAGTTTCTGATTATGCTGTCTCCACCCTCTGGGTGCTGGGCTATAATCATGGACCATCCCTCCTAGTTTTACGTGGTGGTAGAGTGCTGGGGAATAAAACTTAGAGCCTTATGCGTATTAGGCAAGCCATTTATCAACTGAAATACATCCCTAACCTCTTCATTTAATTTTTTTCTTTTTCTTGAAAATCATAAAACTTTCTGAATTTGAGTTAGTCTCTGCAGACATCAATATCAAATTAATAATGCTATTCCTTATAAAAATACAAAATCATGCTTAGAAAGCATGTACATTTTTAACACCAAAAAATCTTAAAAATTGCCAAGATACGCTTCACTGTAATCTTCATTTCAGTGGTTTTGTAGCATTTCTCACAGAGCTTGTCTTTATTCCCAAGCATTTAACTCATGTATAAGAAAACATTAAAATTTGAATTACCCAGTAAAGTTTTTGCCAATGGGCCTGCTAAGTACTAATTTAAAAAAATTAAGAGATTGAAACTAGATATAATGGCACATGTTTGTTATCTCAGGGCTTGGGAGGAGGAGGCAGGAAGGCCATGAATTCAAGATCCCCTTCAACATCATAGCAAGTTCTAAGCCAGCCTGTACTGCCTGAAATGAAACTCCCTCTCTAGAAACCAGGGTGGGGAAAATTATCAAAGTGAGCTACAACTTTTAGAAAGATTTCTCTTTGTATACTATTATGAGGCAGGGAAGAGAGAATGAATATAGGATGTATTTGAGCAGAGGAGCTCAGTACAGTGGCACATGATTGAGAATTTGGATTTTGTTATAAAGCAGTTAAAGAGAATGGTGGGATCTGATTCATGACGAATGAATTAGTGGAGACTAGCTCAGGAAAATAATTGAAAGTTAGTAGGAGCTTGTATCAGAAATAAAATTAGCCACCCCAGAATCCTGCTTCAGTTATTGGAGTTCACCACCATCTTAGCTAAAATAACAAGCAAGTTTATTTCGTCAGCAATTAACATTATCCCAGCCAGCAATAAGTTACTTGGAAACACCATGGCCAGAGAGCTCATGAACTTTTAGCTAAGCAAACCTAGATGATATCTAGCCCTGGTTCTAAATATAAGGTTGATTGGTCATTGGCCTTAATGTAATTATGCAAATGTAGCCGGCGGGCATTGGCTGCTTACTTGGGCTTCGTCAGCTTAACAGCTTATATCATTCAGCTTCTCTTTAGTGTGTTAGATAACTATACACTCCTCATTTTCAGAAGTATTTGTTGAGCTGCTGCATTCTGTGAGAACTATGTTCTACAGTTTAGGATAATGATAACTATCCTCGTGGAGATTATTGTCCACTGAGAGAGACAGATAGGTATCCAGGCAGAAATATGGTAGACAGTGAGCTTTGTGTGTTCACTGAGAAAACTTACGACCTTACATGGTGGGAGATGAAGGGTTGGGGTTAGAGGTAGTTGTCAAGTTTTGTCTTATAGGAGATTTAAAAAAAAAATCTCAGCTGAATCTTAAAAAAAAAAAAAAGGTAAAACAAAGTCAAACTAAGGGCAACAGATTTTTAAGGAGATGTGTCGTTCTCTTGAACAAAACTGGAACATAGGAGCAACAGAATAAACACTGAACTGTAATCAAATGTATGGAACAAATCATGAAGCCATACTGCTGTAAGTAAATAAATGGGTAAAAGTGAAGAGGCAGAATTCCAATTTGTGGCTATACCTCATCCTCAGGATACTTCCATAGTGGTTTCCTCCCTGAAA